CAGGATCACAGAACATGGAGAGGGAACATGAAACTTTTCCTCCACTGCTATGATCACTACAAAAACTACACCCATCCAGTTGCTGTCAATCCTAGAAGGAAATCTCCCTCTGCTTTGCCCCCCCTTGTTTTAACCGATGGAAGTGGGGGGAAAATTACAGAGTTCCCTGTAGGTGGTTGTACACCCCAGCTGAGATGCTTCTGCTACTTCATCTGTCTGTCATTGTTCCAATACTCACTCCCCTGGAAAGGTAACCTAGCCAGTGTGTCTGGCAAAAGAGAAACCAGGGGTCCTACAGCACCTTGAAGTCTAGCTAGTTGTTTTCCCCTTAGACTTGTGTGTGCCTGAGCATGCCTTTTGGGTTGTCTTCTTCCCTGGTGGCATTTCTGAGGATCTGATCCCCAGTGCCTTTCCTCCACTTGGTTATTTGGAACTTCAGGAATTTGGGGGGGGGGGGGGGGAGAGAAGAGGCTCATTTCCAGAAAGTTGCTTTCCAGAAGACAGCTCTCAGGATCCTCTTGTCGAGGTGGGCTAGGTGGTCCTGGTGGCTGGGGCCATTCTGGAAGTTGTAGCCAGAAAAGGGTATGTTCTCCCAACCTTGGCTGGTTTTCATGGACCGCTTTTTGCCCCTTGCAGCCCAGTTACCTGTACTCCCCGACCACAATCCTGCGCTACCAGCGGGGCAACTGCTTTGACTTCAGCATCCTGCTGTGTTCTCTGCTCATTGGCGCTGGGTATGATGCCTACTGTGTGAACGGCTACGCCACCCGTGAGATGTGCATGATGGATGAGTCTCGAGAGACATGCCCGCTCTTGGAGAGGGCAGAAGAGGTGAGCGCAAGGGCGAGGAAGAGGGCAAGAGGGCTGGATTGGGGCCAGGCCAAACAAAGCCGATGAGTTCTTGATTCAGGGTTGGAAATGTTGCTTCCTTGGGCTGCAAATCCCATCATCCCCCAGCCAGTGATGCTAGTTGTTGTGCCATGGGATAGTCCAAAAATGTGCCCTTTTCAAATGCTGCGCCTCACTTTGGCTTGTGGAGTCCTTCCCAACCTATTCTACTCCTCTCCCAACAGGGGGCAGCAAAGGCATGGTTTTATGGAAGAGCCTTAGCGCAACAGTGGGAGAATTAGCAGGACAGACACCTGTTATGGGTGGCCTCATTGGTTGGAGAAGAAAATAGATTAAAGACAGTCTTTCCAGATTAATCACTGGTGATTAAGTTATGAATTTTCATGGACAGAATCTCACTGGTCCCTTGTGCCAGCCTGAGCGTAGTGGCCCAAATCTAAGCAGCTGAGTGCCACTAGCTAAAAAGTTGTCACTCATCTTCCTAGGATGAGGAATACAAGCAGTGCCCATTATCCACTGTAGTTGGTTTGTTTGTATCATTTCTATGTGGCCTTTCTCCCATAAAGGCTCTGTAACTGGCTCATAATATTTAAAAAAACAAGTTAAAAGCACAATAAATCCTTCCACCATAAAGCAATTAAACACAGAATAGCATAAAATAATATATTTATGCCATGGCATGTGTGCTGATATAAACAGCTAACAAGACTCTGACCCTTGTGTATTAACTAGATTACTTGTGCTTATCCTGGGGTGCTGCTAATTTCGATCTCGTTTGGTTGGATGCCCAGTCCTTCCCCATTCCCCTGGCAGTGGGATAAATTCCGGGTAGGTACAAGTTCCCCTTGACATTGAGTCTGGTCGTGTCCGACTCTAGGGCGCGGTGCTCATCCTTGTCTCCAAGCTGTAGAGCTAGCGTTTGTCCGAAGACAGTTTCCGTGGTCATGTGGCCAGTGTGACTAGACACGGAACGCTGTTTACCTTCCCACTGAGGTGGTCCCTATTTATCAATTTGCATTTTTACATGGTTTCAAACGGCTAGGGTGGCAGGAGCTGGGATGAGCGATGGGAGCTCCCTCCATTGCATGGATTCGATCTTACGACAGCTGGGCTTCTGACCTTGCAGCACAGAGGCTTCTGCGGTTTAACCCGCAGCGCCACCACGTCCCCCTAAATCCAGGGGCAAACCAGCCAAAGGGGAAGCAGGCCCCGTCTGAATGGCTCCCTTTTTGTCTGCTATTTGCAGGTCACCGTGGCTGCTGCGAAAGAGAAGCCCAAAAAGTATGCTATCAAGCCCCTGCGGGACCTGCGCAGCAAATTCGAGCTGCGCCAGGAAGCCAAGCAGGAGGCCATAGAGCAGGCAGCCGAGGAGAAGAGGCAGAAGGAGGAAGAGGAAAGAAGACTGGTGAGCCAAGGGGTGGTTTAGACTTTCTTCCGGCAGAGAGGTTGGCCAGTCTTGGCCTCCAAGCCCCAAGTCCGAGTCTGATTCTTTCGTCTCAAGTCCCAAGTCCCAAGTCTGAGGTTCCCCAGAATAAAAGGGAGGGGTGGGTGGGTTCTGAGTCCTGGGTTGAGTCTGAGCCATGGGCAAAAAACAAAAGCAGTTGAGTCTAAGTTGAGTGACCGAGGGTGGACGCAAGTCTGACTTGACATGGGGTCCCGCGATTCAAGTCCCCACCCCTGGTAGGCGGTCTAGGGTAGGGGTTCCCAACCTTGGGTACCCAGAGGTTCTCTGACTCCAACTCCCAGAAGCCTTTTCACCCCTCGCTGTGCTGGCCAGGATTTCTGGGAGTTGTAGTCCAAGAACCTCTGGGGGCCCCCAAGCTTGGGAACCCCTGGTCTCGGGTGTCACGGAAAGCCCTGCTCCTGCTCTGACTCCGGGCTCGGTAAAACCCTGGGTCCTTTCTCTCTCTCTCTCTCTCCCTCCTTCTTCTGCAGGAAGCTGAGAAGCCCCAGCCCGACCCTCTGTACGGTCTCCGGGTCCACGCTTGGGTTCTGGTTCTCTCGGGCAAGCGGGGAGTGCCGGAGAGTTTCTTTATCGACCCTTTTACGGGCAAAAGCTACAGCACCACCGACGACCATTTCCTCGGCATGGAGAGCGTCTGGAACCACCGGAATTACTGGATCAATATGCAAGACTGCTGGAACGCCTGCAGGGTCGGCTTGCGGGATGACCGGCGGGAAAGGGGGAGCGGGGGAAATGAGGGGCTGAGTCCATCACACAAGCTGAGCCTTCCTGTAGGGCACAGAAAGATGGCCCAGCTGGATGTGTGGATTGAATCAGGATGCGATCCCATGGGGAAATGGACCCAGGGTCGGCTTGCGGGATGACCGGCGGGAATAGGGGAGCAGGGGAAATGAGCTGATCCACTGCCTTCCTGTAGGGCACAGAAAGATGACCCATCTGGATGTGTGGATTGATTCAGGATGCGATCCCATGGGGAAAGAGATGGCATTTTGGACCACTTGCGGAGCGGTCCAGTATGAATTTTGGACCACTTGTGGAGCAGTCCAGTGTGGTCTCTTTCTCAGTGATCACATGACACAGAGGGAAGCCTAACCCTGATCCACGCCCAAGCTGGACCTTTCTGGCCCAGGCATAAGGGCTTCTAACGTTTTGGGACTGGAGGGGGAGCAAATCACGGGTGGATGAAGGGAGACTGCTCCCTTTACAACACTGGTCCCCAACCTGGGGTCCACGGGTGTTCTTGGACTACAACTCCCAGAAGCCTCCACCCCTAAGCTGTGCTGGCCAAGATTTCTGGGAGTTGTAGTCCAAGAACATCTGGGGACCCAAGGTTGGGGAACACGGCTTTCAAGTGAGATCAGCCCTGCGCCTTTACAGCCATCGGATCAAGGGCTTATATCCTACTTTTCAATCCCCCATGAGCATCTCCTCTGTGGCTTCCCCGATCTGATCCTGCTGGCCCTGTCTGCTTCTTCAGGATCTCCAGTTTGACCTCGGAGACCCCGTGCGCTGGGAATTCATGCTCCTGGGTGCAGACAAGCCTCTCCTTTCACTGCCGGAGATAGAGGAAGAAGAGGAAACGGGCGAGGATGAAGTGGAAGACTTGGTAAGTGACTAAGGCGAGGGCTCCTCTTTGCTCACCAGCGCCCCCAAGTGTTTATTCTTGTCAGAGCAGCCCAAAGTCTTCAAACTGCTAATCCCATGGTGTGAAAAGATCTCCTGGATAGCTGAGTGGTTGAGGCATCTGGCTGCGGAGCCAGAGGTTGGGAGTTCGATTCCAACCCCCCACCTCCACGGCCTCCTTGACAAGGAGCTGGAGTCCATGATCCATTGGGTCCCTTGTAGTTCTGAGATGATGATGATGAACGTCTCCAATAACCAGGGTTCCACAGAGCCCTTTCGATGGAAAAGAAGGTCCGTTGGGCTGTTAAGAAACACAGGAGGAGCTAGTGGCCTAATGGGTCTTCCTCCCGGGTCTTGACAGATGAAAGAAGAGGAACCCAAAGGTTTCGACATGCCTGCATCCTGGGTGGAGCAGATTCAGATATCGCCAAAAGGTATTCGTCTCTCTGCCTCCTCACCTTTTAATTGTGTTGTGTGGGGGGGGGTCAAGGTGTGCACAGAGGGAACCCTTCATACACCTCCTAGCCATTTCAGGACCAGGTTTCCAGAGCCTAGGAAAAACATGGTGCTAATGGACGATGGGAATGGCCAGATTTGTTGGTCATCAGGGCTTATGATTCGGGGAAGGAAAGGACCCAGAGGTGGCCCTGGGGTTCTGAGATGGAGCAGGCCGGGAGTTAGCGAAACACAGGCTCCGTGAGGTTCAGAGAAATACTGACACATTCCCCTGCTCTCCCTGAGAAAAGAAGTCAAGACACCTTGAGGACCTCCCTCTTAAAGATCAATGCATTTATTTCAGAGGGAGCATGCACGGACTCATGTGATTACTACCCTCCACCCTTCCCCCCCCCCATGTCATTTGTCTCTTTATGCATAAAACTATTCAATTAGGAGGTGGTTTCCCATTTCCTCCCCCTGGGGGATGCTCCGAGACCACCCTGCAGCTTGTTCCAGGGCCACCCGGGCCGGCTCCATAGGACCAAACTATTTCACTTCCTATGTCTGAGGAAAGGGATCGCAATCCACAAAAGCTCACTCTGAAATAAATCTGTTACAGTTTAAGGCACCCTCTCTCTTTTCTTTTTCTTCTGCAAGCCTGGGAAGCTGCTGTTTGTCTGCAGCTAAGTCTGTGTTTATATAAATAAAGGGATGAACAAACCAGAGACAGTAACAGGATGCCCGCTTCGGCAAAGCGTTTGATGCAAATAAAAGGCGCTGCAGGCCATGGGGTGGATCCTCTGGGACCGCCTACCCGGAGACTTTTCTCGGTGGTTCCCATCCGCATCAGCCAGCATCCGCAATGGTCCTGGGCAGAAGGGGTAGCAAGTCTTCTGATCTTCACCGAGGCCACAGCTACAAATCTGTTAAAAACCAGGCTGAATGCCAAGCAGTTCTTGTCAGTGCATCAGAGCTGCTGTTCTGCCAACGCCCTTCCTTGGCCGCCAGCGCCATCCTCTGGCCGGGAGAAGCAGCCGCATCAAAATTGTATGAGTTTCAGGAGCTTTCTCTCTGATTTGCAGGTGACCCGTAAGAAAACCTCCATGGCGTGTGGGGGTGACTGAAAAGGCCCACCCTCCTCTCGCCATGCACAATCCCAAGTAACGGCGTGCCTCTTCTTGTCTTTAGCATTCGAGACGCGCTGTCCTCAGGGGAAGAAGGTGATTCAGTACAAGAACGCCCAGCTGGAGAAATGGGCCCCTTATCTGAACAGTAATGGGATGATCACCCGGCTCACCCTCTTTGAGGATCCAGACCGTAAGTAGGAGGAAAAGGTGCCTGGGGCCGGAGGTTGGGAGTTCGAATCCTGCACTCGGCTTCCTCGACAGGGGGTGGACTTGATGATCCAGAGGGTCCCTTCCAGCCTTGCAGTTCTAAAACTCCTCTTCCTCTTATTGTTACTCACATACTCACTTTGAGCCTCCCCAGCTGTGATTTTCAGGGAATAAAGACAAACCTCCCCATCTCTTGACTCTCATGGGCTCCCAGGGGTGAAAGGAATGACTCAGGAATCCTAGGGGCTTTGGGATAGAAGATGGAAATGTTTGATTTCCTAAAGAAATTGTCCTGACTGGTGATGTCACCAGCCTTCTGCCATAGGACTTACATCAACAGGATTTCAGTCGTGGGTTCAATTGCTTTTTAATATTGTCATTTCTTGTGTTTTAACTTCATTCGCCTTCTACAAACGTCATCAACTCTTTTGAGTCCCTTTATTAGGAAAAAGGCAGGGGAGAATCAAAACCAGAGAACGCGCCCTGATGTTCGAAGGGGAAAACACGGATCTGTCACTCTGTCTCTCTCTGCATGAGCTCCCTCACAGGATCGTTGTGACAATAGGGTGGGGAGGTAGGAGAAAACTGGTCAGGCGGGTAGCTTGTCCTGAGTCCGAGGTTCTGTGCCTTCTCCTCACGAGTCTTGATCCTTCTCTTTTCCTTTCAAGGAACCAAAGTGCTGGAAGTGAAGGAATGGTACAAGAACCGAGAAGACATGATGGAGACAAGAGAACTCAATAAGAAAACAGATGTGACTACCGAGGTTTTCCTCCCAGGGCATGTGCAGGGCCTTAAAGGTATTCAAATTCCATGATGGGATCTCTTTAAAAGCATAGCAGAGCCCCCATATCCACAAGGGATCCGTTCCAGGTGCTGAAAAATTCGAAACCGTATTTTAATAGCAAACGCTCTACATTGCGCGGTCTCTGTCTTCAATCCGTTCCAGGTGCTGAAAAATTCGAAACACTATTTTAATAGCAAACGCTCTACCATCACATGGTCTCTCCTCCCTCTAATGGCCAGTTCTAGTAATTTCATCATTAAATACATATGTATATTGGGATTTTTCTTTTACTTTTCAAAATATGTTCAGATGGTGGACAAGTCAATCAGTGGATACTGATCCCTCGGATAAGGGGGTCCTGCTGTACTTGGCGCCACTAGTTGTAGGGAGGGACAAAGAGGCTCAGGAGCAGGATTTCAGCCTCCCTGGAAAGTTTAAGTCCATCAGCTCTTCTGGCTGCGCCGTTCATCTATGGCAGGTTTCTGCCAGCGCAGCTCCTCTGTTTTCTAGTCAGACGTTCCGCTCACAGCCCCCCCCCCTGGTTGGGTTTCTCAGCACACGTCTACAAGACCATGGAGCCCGAGACAGAGCGCACCATGGAGTTCTACGACGAGACGCGGGTGGATGGCCTTCAGAAACGCGTCGAGACGTCCAAAGATATGACGGAATACTTTGAAGGTCGCTCGGATTTCCTGTATTACCGCTGCACCGAATTTGGCAAAAGAGTAAAGAAGCCCACCAATATTCTTGCCAACACTGAAATGAACGCCCGGCCCATTCTGGTGAGTGTAGCGCAAAATCCGGCTAGAGCTGGATGCCATGCCTAAAAGAAATTCATATCTGATCCTGGATATAAACCCCTTAGCTGTCCTTTTGCAAGCTGGCATGTCAGTCCCTTTCCTATGCAGTGAGGAGATGGCACTGCTCGGAGCTTGGAAAAAGTTACTTTTCTGGACTCCAAAGCCCATGCTGGCTGTAGGATGCTGGGAGCTGTATTTCCCACATGTTGATACTGACATAATGCTACCCATCCCTCAGCTAGCTTGTCTCATTCGAGGAACTAGCATATGGCTAGAGGAGGGTCTTTCACAAAATGAATTTAAAGCCAGTGATTTCCTCATAATCAGTAGGAACATCTAGAACAGAACTAGCACCTGGCATCTTGGACAGCTATCAGGAGCCCATCTGCCTCCTCAGGGGTATCCAGTCTCTCATTTTGTGAAGAATGGGCATCTTTGGCTGCTTCCGGGGTTCCCAACCAGAAGACACCATGCGCACACACACACTGAATCAAAACAGAACCCTGATCTAGAACCTTTGGCCAACCCTAAGCATTTGTGTCCCTCCAGTGCCTAGCAGATCTTGAGGGCATGCGGCATTTTCCAGGCTGCTTTGCTAGAGGAAAAGGGTAATGTGTAGCATCTAGACTGACCCTGGTGCTGTCCAGATATATTGGAACACAGCTCCCATCATCCTCAACCAACATGGAGAAGGCCACCTTGGAAGAATGAGAGCTTCAGTCCACATTACTTGTTAAATTCCTTTTCTTTTCTTAGCATGGCTCAGGAGCCTCACAGGTGTAGGCACGGAGATCAATAAAAAATATAAAAACTTGATCAGGCAACTATAATTTGATGGAGTGGAAAGCCAGAACCCACTAAAAAATGACTTTATATCGGTTGATCGATAACATTTTTGCCACTTACAGGAGATAGTGAGGCTTAAACTGCATTTTCAGTTTAAACTGAATCCAATTTCCATTTTTAATCGGTTGCATGCATTTATTCTGTATTTTAAAACATCCTTTTTGTATTGCATATTTGAGAAAACAACTCCTTGCACAAAGTTTATTACACAAACTGCGGTATGTAAATTCTTGTTGTTGTTCTTGTTATGTGCCGTCAAGTCGGAATCGACTTAACAAAGGCCTCAACAGGGCTGCCTCCAAGGTAAGTGAGATGTTTAAGGAATGGTTTTTACCCATTCCACTCACGTAAAACATCCTTTTTGTATTGCATATTTGAGAAAACAACTCCTTGCACAAAGTTTATTACACAAACTGCGGTATGTAAATTCTTGTTGTTGTTCTTGTTATGTGCCGTCAAGTCGGAATCGACTTAACAAAGGCCTCAACAGGGCTGCCTCCAAGGTAAGTGAGATGTTTAAGGAATGGTTTTTACCCATTCCACTCCCCCCAGTGGGTTTCCATGGCTGAGCAAGGATTCGAATCCTGTTCTCTCAGAGTCCTAGTCTGTCACTCGATCCGCTGCACCAAACTGGGTGAACATTGGGTGATCCGGCTGGCTGGATAGCTCAGTGGCCTTGGGTCTCTGGCTGTGGAGCCAGAGGTTGGGAGTTCGATTCCCCCATGACTGAGCCTCCTGGGAGGAGAAGAGCCAGCCTGGGTAGCCTTGGGCAAGCTGTACACAGTCCCAGAAGAAGGGAACGGTGAACCGCCTCTGAGTATCCTCAACCTGAAAAACCCTGAAAAGAATCTCAATAAGTCAGAATTGGCTTGACGGCAATGATGACATTCTTCTTAGATATCTATATATCAGGCTGTGGTTACAAATATTTATTGCCATTAACCTACCTATTGTTACATGATTGGAAACACATAAAGTACACTGTTGATTTTCAGTCATAAAGCAATGGTTTTACAACCCAGGAATCTTCTGATGCCCTTTTACTACATCCCCCCAGTAACCCCTGACTGGCATGGACAATTAACAGTTCTTTTCTATTAGCCAGAATCAGTCATAAAGCAATGGTTTTACAACCCAGGAATCTTCCGATGCCCGTTTACTACATTCCCCCAGTAACCCCTGACTGGCAGTTCTTTTCTATTATCCAGACTCACCTTCCCAATTCTTAGTTGTCAGATTTCCAGCATTCATGGTTGACTTTCTTGAGTCTTTGGCTTAAATCTAGCCGGTTGTCCTAACAAAAGAACAACCACTGAAAGCAATGGTTTTACAACCCAGGAATCTTCCGATGCCCGTTTACTACATTCCCCCAGTAACCCCTGACTGGCAGTTCTTTTCTATTATCCAGACTCACCTTCCCAATTCTTAGTTGTCAGATTTCCAGCATTCATGGTTGACTTTCTTGAGTCTTTGGCTTAAATCTAGCCGGTTGTCCTAACAAAAGAACAACCACTGAATTGGGTGCTGAAGAATCACGTAAATCCCATTGTGTTCAATAGCTCTATATTAGTTGCGGCTCCCGTTTGGATTTGGCCTTTACATGTCATCCCTTTAAAGACAACGATAATTCGATTATTCACTTCTCCGAATTCTTAATTGCTTATTTGGCCTTTGAATGTCATCCCTTTAGAAACAGTTACAATTGAATTATTTGCTTTTCTAGATCCTTAATTGCTTCCTTGGCCTTTGGATGTCATCCCTGTAGTACAATTATAATTGAATTATTTGCTTCCCTAAATTCTTAATTGCTCGTTGTCCAGTGTTTTTCCATGGCTCTTCACCTGCCACTGTACTTTTAAGCAAATCTTGTCTTGCTTTGAAAGAAAGCTAGAGATTTCCCAGAAGCTCTGACAAAGAAAATACACCGTAAACTTCCTGTGCACCCTTACTCCAACGTCTGATGCATTGTGTATAGCAGACCTTCCTTCCAGTTTGTAACCTCAAGGGTATCACTACCTTAGTTCCTCATACTAGCACCTGCATATATGCCTTGTAGTAGAACCTCTATATATGGCTGCCATTTTTACTGGGGAAAAACACCTTTTCAACAATGCTTTGTTTGAGTGTGTGCGTGGGGCACTGTGAGCTGGCTTGGTTAAATGGGAAAAGCAGAAACTTGGTATAAGAAGTGTGTAAAACTCATCAGCAGCCTGTTATCCTAGGATAATGGAGTTGGAAGGGACCCATGAGGCCATTAAGTCTGATCCCCAGCCCAAGGCAGGAATCTAAATCAAAGCAGATCTGACCGAGGGTTGTCCAATGTTCCCTTGAATGCCTCCCAACATTGGAGCACTCACCATTCCCGAAATCACTGGTTCCACCGTCGTACTGCTCTAACAGTTAAGACATTTTTTTCCCGATAGTCATCCGAAGTCTGGCTTCCTGTAACTTGAGCCATTTGAAAACTGCTCTCATGCCCTCTGTCTTCTTTTCTCAAGGCTAAACATGTGTCCGGTTCTTTCCATCTTTCCTCCTAGGGCTTGGTTTTCCAGCCCCCTGATCATCCTTGTTGCCCTCCTCTGAACTTGTTCCAATTTAACAGCATCCTTCTTGACATGTGGTGTCCAGAAGTGAAGGCAGTAGTTAAGATAAGGCCTAGCCAGTGTCAAAAAGAAACTAGTACTTTATGGAATTTTGAGACTATAGTTTTGTTAATTACAGGATAAAATAACATTTGCCCCTTTTTTTTGCAGCCACATACATCACACGGTTGGCTCATGTTCACCTTTTGATCTACAATAATTCCATGATCCTTCTCACCTGCAGCATTACTGAGCCAAGGAAAAATTGTGCATTTGGGTTTTTTCCTCTATGTGTAGAACTTTGCACTTATCCCTATTAAATTTCATTCTGTCGTTTTCAGCCCAATGCTCAAGCCTATCAAGGTGTATCCTTTTGAATTGTGTTCCTGTCTTCCAAGGTATTAGTTATGTGCTGAGCTATTGGGTCCCTTGCTCAATCCGGATTCTGTGTGGGTCTTACTGCCATGGTATGGTCTGTTTTCTTCCTCCCACTGCCCTCCTGTTAATTTGGGGTGCCAGAGTTTGATGGCACCTTAATTTCCACTTTTTTCCTGCCCCTGTCCTTCTCTAGAAAATCACTGAGAGGTTCCATCGGAATCCGAGCAAGCCCGCCGACGAAGATGTGGCGGAGCGCATCTTTCTGATTGTCGAGGAGAAAATCCTTTTGACCTACCACTGCAAGGAGAATTACATCACGCCCTCAAAGAGGGAGTTCAACAAACAAACAGACGTGGACAACAAGGGGAATAAGATCATCATGACCCACGATATGTGCATCAGCTACCAGGTACCTTGGCGCTGTCGAGAACCACTTGGATCTCCTAAGGAGAGCAGAGGAAAACCTGCCACTCTTTGGAAAAGATTGTTATTCCAATAATTGTTCTTGGTTTTTCTTCATTTGTATCAGAAGCATCAGAATGCAATTAACAAATACTGCATATCAAGCTGTTTTGCTTAAATACCCCCCCTTAGTGCTTAAAGTGCCCTCTTGGCTGTTGGCAGTTTTATTGTGCAGACTACACACTGCCTCCTCCCCCATGAGCAGGGACCTTAATTTACTGACTTCTGAAAGATGGAGGTCTGAGTCAACCTCGAGCCGGCTACAGGAGCCTACTGGGATTGAACTCAGGGTTCTGAGCAGAGTCTTCACTGCACCACTGCAGTTTAACCCCTGTTCCACGAGACTCTCTTTTTCCCCCTGTCTCTTTGCTTTTAGGCCGGATCTACTGAGAAAGAAAAGAAATTGTTCCATTTGTACGAAATGATGATGCATCTCATAGAAGAGGAGAAGCGCTCCCGGCACCAAGTGTGGGAGTCATCGATTGAGGTAATCGGGAGGGAGGGACACAACCTTATAGTTGCAGCGTGCAGGTCAACAGAGGGGCTGCGGGAAAAGATAATGATGCTGGGAAAAGCTGGAGGCAGCAGGAAACGAGGAAAACCAAACACAAGATGGATTGGCTCGGCACAGCAATGTTTTCAAGAACTGAAAGAGGCTGGTTGAGAACATGACATTTCAGAGGTCATTACGCACAGGGTCACCCTAAGTCAGAAGTAACTCGAGGGCGCATAACAAACAACAGCAGGAAAAAAAGGATCTCTGCTGTCAGACAGTTTTTCTGCTTCAGAACCCAGACAACTGTAATTAATGAAAACTGGGCTAGACAGGCCAGTGGTCTAATTGGGTATACATTGGCTTCACAGATGCTCTGGGCAGGTGTTATAATATGACCAAGATCCATAAGGCTACAGCTGGTTGCCACTCAAAGACTCCCAGGCTAACAGAGATCTCATGAGAATGTAAGAACATGAGGAGGTGCCTCATCCCATGTTATACATTCTCAGTTCAACTGTACAGCACGGAAGAGCAGCCCTCGAAACAGACAGCTATAAAAAAAAAAAAATGATGTGCAGAAAATGTGGACATCTGGGTTACATAATAAGGAAGGGAAAATATAGAGAATCGTAGCTGAGGTAAAATAAAGATAGGAAAGAGGTATAGGAAGGAGCAGGCCGTATTAGCTAGAAAACCTTGGAGAGTCGGACAGCACACATTGTTATAGTTTATGGCTTCTGCATCCAAAGTCGAAGAGACCAAGAGGACATCCAACTTTTGGCATGAGAGAAGGAGGAGGAGGAGGAAGAAGAAGGCAACAAAAACCACACATTGTGTGTTTCCAACATTAGTGGTATGCCTTCAGAACGTATCAACTTTGTAGAGTGGAAGGTGAAATTATAGGAGATCCCACAAATAAATCTGTCACATAAATAGCACTTCTCCCATGTAAAGATAAGGTAGCAGATTCAAGCAGAAGGAGGTGGGTAAAGATGGAATGCAATGGAGATTGAACTCAAGGAGCTGTCCGCAGTGCTGATCTTGCCCCTTCAGTAGGCTGGCCTTGAACAACTCCTGCGAAGGGTAGGCTAAAACCTGCAGCAGATTCAGAGCCCTGGTTTCACCAGTTGCCAGTGTGGAGTAGTGCATAAAGTGTTGGAGTACGATTCTGGGGATCTGGGTTCAAGTCCCTGCTTGGCCAGGGAAATTCACCGAGGTCTGGGTTGGCCCTGGCCAAAGCACTCCTTCAACCTCTCACTGACCTCAAAAACCTTATCAAGATGGCTGTATGTTGGGAGTGACTTAATGGCATGAAACAGCAGCAGGATGGAAAGGGAACTTAAACCTCCAAATTCTAGATTTATTCCTTACTTCTTTATAAGTCCAAAGGACTTTTATTGGCTCGTGGTCAGAAGTTGCAAAGTGGAAGAAAGCTGAAGATCTCTCCTTGCAAAGCCTTCTGAAGAGAACTTGGCAAATGGTTTTGATGGAGAAAATGGACCAATCAGATCAGAATATATAGAGGGGAAATAAAACATGATACAGTTACGAAGACCTGACAACCTTTATTAACATAAGGTACTAAGTCAAGAAAAGAGGAACACGCTACGGGTAATTTGGATTGTTGGTCTGTAATCTTTTAGGAGAATAAATGTAAGTATGTTTGGATATGAAAACATTGGGTGTCTAGATAATTATAAAGTGGTAAAATATTGTATAAGTAAGATGATTATATTTTATCATCATGTAAGTTGCTTGGTTAGGTTACGGTTGCCATTAAATACATAACTACTAAATAATGTGAGAAGAATGTCAATTAAAAATATTATTTTTTAAAGAAAAAGTTTACTAGGAAAAGAACAGAAGTGACTTCTCCCTCTTCTGTGCCTTCTAAGGTCTTGGACATTCTCAGGATTCGAGAAGAAGAGGCAGCCGCCAACAAGCTGACGGTGTCTATTTATGACACAGAGAGGAACGAAAAGAGCAAAGAACAGCGAGAGGCCATGGTAGGTGACGAGACCCACCTTGGACCACAGGGACCCCTCTTTCGGCAGCTCCCTTCTGGGTATTTCTGACGGCCCCATCCGAGGGGAGGAGACCATTCCAAACCAGATGGACTTTGGGTCTGGCTGCTGTAAGCCCTACAGGCCAATGTTTCCTCTTTCTCCCCCCCATCTCCAGGAGCGCCAGCTGCAAGAGGAGCGCCAGCGGCAGGTGGAGCAGGACCTCGACTACTTGGCACCTTTCCTGATCCAGATCGGGGGCGCTGAGAAGATGACCAAGTGGCTCGCCTTGCGACTCAAGGAGGACTGCCTTAGCGATTTCAAGCACCGGCTGGTGGACAAGGCCAACCTCATCCAAGCCCGATTTGAGAAGGTGCCTGGATCTGACCCACCTCTTGACCCCATCAGGAGCCCCAGTCAAGTGCAGGCTGGGCTTAGATGGGAGCTTCCCTCATTTTCCTTTTGGAGGTGGGGTTGGGTGGAGAAGAGAGGTCTTCTCCTTTTCAAGAGTTGGCCACTCTTGGGCCGTAACGTCCTGTACCACTTAGGGGTCCAATTCCATAGCAAACCTGGCGGGCTGAGGTCTGTGCTTCAAGGGCACCACCTAGGCTGCAGTCCCTCTGTCAGGTGACCTCAGGGACCAATCCCTGTCCACTAAACCCTGGAAGACCCTCACCTGAGCAGCCTGTTGCTGGAGTAAGAACATGGGCTCAGCACCTTCTGTGCTTGTTGTCTCAGATCTTCGGCCCCTTGGTTGGTCTGGATGGTACACTTGATTCTGACCTCTTGACCAATGAA